GGTACAATGCTCCACTCAAACCATTTTGTTGAACTATATCAAAGCAAAGAAGCGATCCAAGCATCCCCCCCATGGAAACGGTTGTGTGCGACCGCTCACTGGCGCCAGAATACAAAATATAAACGTTTCCGTCAGCAGTTTGACTGCAGACTTGTATTATTTTCTATAGAGTCCTTGAATAGAGGACAACAAGTTCAAAATCCATGATGCAAAGTGAGTTATTACTTTGGGAGCAATTTCATCCTGTTTGCATTTGTATGCATGTGACTGTGTGTGCATGTGTCTGCATTGTCACACTCTCTGCATTACCTTTTAGTCGTCGGAGTACACTCCCTATCCTGGCCTTCAGTCCACGCCTCATCTCCTCTTATGCAAGAGATGAGTGCTTGCGACCAGCTCCTTGCAATGGGAGAGTGCAGCAGGTGAGTGGGGCCTATAAGGTCACTTTAACATTCCGGCTGGGTCCAGGATGAAGTCAGAAATGTTGGTTCTTAATTCTGTTGTTTCACCTGGAAACCCAACTTTTCTTCGCATATCTTAATCCTGTGTCCGCTCAAACAGGTACAAAAGGACAACTCTTGCGGCATCCTGCAAGGTGGCTACAACTCTGCGATTACATCGTAAAATTGCATTCTCTCAATCCCCAGTGCAGATTCTGCCTTAGCATTCTAAACATTTACATATTCACAGAGAGACTTCGGAGAGCGTTTGAAGGCATTTTCGAGTGTCGTCTCAGTCGTCCTCTTTCGCTGCCCCAAAATGGAAGATCTGATGTGTGAAAGGGTGCTTTTTCGCATAAAGCGGGATGTCTTGCTGACCAGCCTGCACTCAGTTGTTATGATGTGTGGGCACTGTTGCCGTGGCGATTCGTCTTCAGAGTCTCCATCAGCCAAAACAAACCAGGCGGTGGAAAAAGTCCTGTAAAGAAGGCCAGTTGTCTGGAGGCGCAGCACAGCCACCAATGTTTCATGTGAGGGAGTGTGTGTGTGTGTGTGTGGTGTGACATTAACTGTGCAAAAGATCGTGGCAGACTAACAGGTTAGACATAGCAAGAGTCGAGATGTGGCCAGACAACGTTAACTTTAAAATGACCCAGAATCGTGAACTTTTTGAAGGCTGAGTCGCCTTCATGTGGAGGCATGACAGTCAAGTATACATTCGGAGCGGAGGAGCAAGTGATGTCACCCCAGAGGGAATCCTCTAGCCTCTGAAGGCAACATGACAAATGTGCCGATGGCACAACCCTTCAGTCCAGAAATATGGCTAACTTAAGGTGATTTAGTATAACTTTTCCCAACTCTGACCCGTGGGCTTCGCTACGGGACTGGTAACCCTCAAATCCTGTGTCTTTTTTAACAACTTTTATCGTCCTTTTTGCATTCACACGTTCCCTCGACATTTCCTGACAACCTTACTTCGATATTAAGGGCCCATACCTCACGAGGTCAAAGCTTGCGTGTCATTCAGACAGCTTTTGACTATTAGCTTCATGCGAAGAAATGTTGGGTTTCAAGGAATCTCTTGTTTCATAATTGTTGTGCCTACTTCAAGTGAAAGTGTTTGATGAAGAGATTCAAAGGTCGATTTCACCAGAAGACGACGGCGGATTCCGCTTAACCAGCTGTCGATTGGCTTTACTGGAACATTGATGTTAACGCTGTTTCAGAGGTAATCTTCTTCGATTCCGGTGAAAAGGAGCTAAGCTTTCGTCGTCGCATGACGAACATCATCAGAGCAAGTTATCATCATCACAACTAAATTGTAAAGAAAACTTTACTTGTTAGCTTGAATTTGGTTGTGACGATGATACCTTGCTCTGATGATGTTGGTCATATGACGGACGAAAACTTAGCACATTTTCACCGAAATCGAAGGAGATTGCCTCGGAAACAGCGTCAGCATGAATGTTCCAGTAAAGCCAATCTACAGCTGGTCTTCTGGTGGAATCCACCTTCGAATCTCTTCACCAAACATTTTCACTCGAAATGGAAGTAAGCACAACAATTATATTTGCTGCTGGGTCGAGCTGATGATCCAAGGCTTGATATGAGATAATTCCTGGCCCTCGTTGGAATTCACATCTGCCCTGTGATCTAAGGACGCTCGTGGAATTGTGATGTAGAGGTTAACGCACTGAGATTATACGCTACACCGTCACGGTTCGAGTCCCAGTGGGAGCGCTGACGAGACTTAGGCGAAGTCGAAACTGCAGTCTACCCCAGCCGAGATGAGAATACCTTTTAGGAAAGCAAGGTTATGTGAAATGTAATGGAAACGCCAAATTTACCCTAAACGAAATAGGAGAAATAAATCCCAAGGCTTGATAGTTGAGCTGTATATGATGAAAAGAGAAGAAATCTTGAAAGAGACCTTTTCATCTATACCAGACGTGCCATCTTCTCTAAAGTGGGTATCAATTGGTTTCATCAGAAGTCTCTGAGACAAATGAGCTGAACACTCGTTTGTCCTACAATGACTAAATGATGATAGAGTGATTGGATGTCTTCTACTGAGTCAAAATCATTCATTGACTAGAATTTTCAGTGGGCCGTTTCATGTTGTAAATGGTTAATGTTAAAATATTGGCCAATATAAGCTGTGTCTTGAGGAGTCTCTTGGTTCATAATTGTTGAGCTTACTTATATTTCGAGTAAAATTGCATGTTGAAGAGATTTGAAGGTCGATTCGACCAGAAGACGACGGCGAATTCCTCTTGACCAGCTGTTGATCGGCCTTACTGGAGCCTTCTTTTTGACGCAATCTCCTTCGATTCTGGTGAAACCGTCCGTTATATGACGGACAGCATCAGAGCAGAGTTTCATTCTTGCATGCATATTTAAGTTAGCAAATAAAGAAGATTCATTGGCTCCTCCCTAAATGCTGTATTTGTATCCTCTTTGATGAGATATTAAGTGATTTGGTCGATTTAAGTCATATGTCAACCTCGAAGACTGTGAGTGCGTCTGTCTATGTGTATTTATGTGCCTTCTTGTATTCGTATGTGTACAAAACCAGCAGAAACGGTGCAGAGTAATTAGAACAGAAAATAAATATCTATCCTTGGCCATCCAGGTTTGACGACCCTAAACACCTCCTCTCTAAAAACATATTTTAACCAGCATTTCGATTGTATTAAGTCGAACACACGCCTGGTTGTGTTGATGAGCTTTTTGTCTTCCTGTGAGAGAGGAAGAATGGACAAAAAAGTACAGAAAAGTGGCCATGATCAAAGCCAATACAGGAAAAAAAGAAATGGTTAGTTGAGTCGCTTCCTTTTGGTCGGCGGATCAACACCCCCTCTATACTTGAGTCCATTAAGCAAGCATAAATAGCCTTTATCTAACTTCTTGCCGGTATTCCTTGTATTCCTTGCCTAGTCGAGAGATTTCGAGGGCTTTTAATTTTACATTTAGCCGTAGGCATGCTATAATCGGCAAAGCGACAAGTTAGAGACCATTCAATCTAAAGTCCAGTTTCTGTCGTGCTCTCTTTTAGCTGTGATTTTTGAACCTATAATGACTTATCCCTACACTTTCCTATTCAAGTGCGTAGCCACGGCTCAATACTGTTTACATAGAGATCATGCTGCAGTATGAATAATCCTCACTCTTTATGTCACGTCGACCAATCACTGCTTGGCAACAGCATCATGCATATCTTTTGAAACAATCTTAGGGTGATGTTGGAGTACCTTTCATTTCATCTGAAAAGGCGAGTGGAAGGGATTCGTACGTCCGACCTACGGGAAGCTGTAGGGGGACTGCTTTGGAGCTGTGATTGTAGATTTTCGCGAATAGGTCCTCGGCGCACCGCCCTGCGATCCCGATCAACCCTTGCTGAGCTTTCGTCCGTCATTTGACGGACATCGTCAGTGCAGGACGCTATGCATTGGGATAATTGGCAAAAACACGAAGACAAGAAATGTTTTCGGCTTCGAACATGACTAGTTCTCATAGTCCAACTTGATCCACACTTGGGCATTTCATGTTTGGATTGGATATCCTATGCTATGTCCGAATGTGTGCTCAAAAGTTGAGTGAAGTGGATGCAGATGAAGAGGGAAGCCGAATGGCTGCATCCTTCCCTAAAACACTGATACCTTTGATCCTACAGTGTCACTACTGCATGTGATTGCTTTCCGTTGCACGCGTGTTGTGTGAATGCATTGCCCTTGAAATGCGTGCGATGTGAGAGTCAAAACCACATTCGAGCCTCATCGAGCCTCCACTTCTTGTCCGGTGGTACAGCTCGTTCCTTACCGCTTGATGTTAGAACAATCTATTTGGTGCCCTGTGCTAAATGTGTGTTCGGAAAATTCCGCTTTGGGGACATATAAACCTTTGCAGGCTGTTTTGTGTTCAGATAACCTCTTTTTATGGGCCTACATGTATCTCTCGCATAGACGCTACCTCATGAACAAAAAGTCTTGTAACAGCCAGATCTCGAAAAAATACAAAGCCGACGAAAGTGTGATTTTCTTTTTATAAATAGGCCTGATATCCCACCTCATCAGTAATCGCCTATCTTCTTCGAGGGATTACACAATGACAACATAAGGACTAATCATTTATCTAGCCACAAATGTGTATTTCCATCTGTCCTATTTGACAATATATTCTAAAATAATTGTCAACCAGTCCTCGTGAAAAATTGAAGCTATGAGCACAAGTTGGGTGTCGAAGAATTCATTTGTGATATATTGTGACATGACTCTCCACTTCGAAGGGAAAGTTGGTTGTAAGGAATTCGTGATGTGGTCTTACCGTAAACCGAAAGAGGAATTCCGCTTGGGGAAGATTGTTGAATTGTGCGAATATGTCCTCGGCTCACTGTCCTGTGACCCCGATGAAACAGTGCCAAGCTTTCGTCTGTATAAAAATAGCAATTAAAGTTACAGCCGGCAACCCTTTCTCTTGGCTTACTATATTATACGAAGAAAAGTTGGGTTTCTAGGACTCTCTTGTTTCATAATTGTTGAGCCTACTTCCATTTCGAGTGAAAGTGTTTGGTGAAGTGACTCGAAGTTCGGTTCCACCAGAAGATGATGGCGGATTCCTCTTGAACAGCTGTCGATTGGCTTTACTGGAGCATTATTGTTGACGCTGTTTCCGAGGTAATTTCCTTCGATTCCGGTCAAAATGTGATAAGCTTTCGTCCGTCATTTGACAAACATCATCAGAGCAAGGTATCATCGAAATGGAAGTAAGCTCTATTTCGTAAAGTATGGAATCTTGCTCTGATCATATCTGTCCCTTTAGAGACGAAAGCTTGCAAGTTTTTACCGGGATCGAAGGAGAACTCCTATGAAATATCGTCAATAAGGATGATTCAGCAAGGCCAATCGATAACTGGCCAAAAGGAATCTTCCATCACCTTCTGGTGGGATCGACCTTCGAATCTCTTCACCAAATACTTTCATTCAAAGTGGAAGTAAGCTCAAAAGTTAAAATATTTGTTAATGAATGGGGCTCTTCTCACTTCATGTCAAGCTAGCTGGAAGAAACGTTACTATGAAGTACCACAGAAGGAGCATTGGAGGCGTAATTAGTAGGCAGGTCACAACTATCAAGAGTATGACAATCGCTAAGGTCCTCGGCTCACCATACCACGACCCTGATGAATCCTTTCTGCGATTTTGTCCGTCATGTGACAGACATCGTCAGAGCAGGACACCATGTTTTACGATAATCCACCAAAAAATACAGACAATAAAGGTGGCCGGCTGCCATCCTGTCAACTTCATATAGCCTAACTTTGAGCACTTAATGAGACATCTCATCATTTGCTTGGCAATCCTACGCTTTATATACGAAGAAAAGTTGAGTTTCGAGGAATCTCTTGTTTCATAATTGTTGGGCTTACTTCCATTTCGAGTGGAAGTGTTGAGTGGAGAGATTCGAAGGTCGGTCCCACCAGAACACGAC